ACGGACCAAAGGTCAGTTGTATGTTATTTGATACGGCAACATGAGTGCATGAGAGCCACGTCATTGTAACTTCTGTATTGTTAGCCAGGCACGGCTGAAAGATCAAAATAATAAATATATATAAAAGTATAATGTTATTAGATTTAAGCTATTTAGTCTAAACATTTATGTTTTGTGTTATCATTTGTATTCATTCTAGAAAGAAAGAGGCATAATTTATATTTGTTTGGAGATGGCTTGAATGGGTAACAGAAGAAAAACTTTAATATAAGTTTAACATAACAGCAAACGTACAATGTTTCAACAAGGTTTTGTCATCATCAGGTACAAGTAGTTTACACTGATACAGATAAATATATATATACAGAATGGAACAAAGAGGTCCCATGACCAGATACTGTTGCAAGACTTAGAAGAGATATCCTGGCAACCCAGGATGTTGGTTCAGAGTAGGGTTGTTTTGTTCAATTAAAATGGATTCCTTGATTTTTGTATGTTTATGTTTGGTTCTTTTTTAAAATTACTGTGTTTTTAATAGATATACTATGGTTTTTTGAGTTGCATTGGTGGAAAACATGGGACGGTTTTTTTATTGTGTTCTGTGAATCTGGTTTCCAATTTTCTTCCTGTTTCTCCGATGTAGAATTCTGGCAGTTATTGCATGTTATTTTGTAAACGACGTTGGTATTGTGTGATTCTAAATAATATTTGTTTAGTACCGATTTTAATTTAGGGCCGATTAAGTTGAGTTAATGTTGAGGTTAAGAAAAGATAACTGTTTATTGTTTTCGTGTTCTATGGTAAATCTGATGTTGGGATGAAGGGAATTTATGTGTTCAAAGAAAGTTAGTGTGTGTTCTGTAGAAGTGAAACAAGCAAAAGTATCACTGACATATCTGTACCAGTATAGTGGGGGATGAAGCGCAGACTGTATGGCTTGTGTTTCAATCTGGGTCATAAATATATTGGAAAGAATGTGCGAAACAGGATTGCCCATACTTAAACCATCTATTTGAAGGAAATGTTTGTTGTTGAAAATGAAGTTGGTTTTAGTTGTTGTAAATTCTAAGAGAGAAGCAAAAAGTGTGCTGGGGATGTGGATTAACTTGTTGGGGTCATTAATGTAGAGGTCGAGTGCAATATTGCAAGCTTTATTGGTGGGAACTTTGGTGAAAAGTGGCACGACATCAAACTAGCCATTAAGGCTTTCGAATTTAATTGATCTAATGTATATTTGCAATTGAAGACATCTTTAAAAAATGAACCTGCAGATGTTACATATTGTGTGATAGCTCAGGCTATGTATTTGCCAAGATTGTAGTTGAAGGAATCATAAGTGGACAGTATAGGTCATAGGGGCAGTCCTGTTTGTGTGGTTTAGGAATGCCATAGAGTTGTGGTATGAGTGAATCAGTTTTACGTAGATAAAAATAAAGATAATCAGTAATTATCTTTTTTTTTCTATTAGTAATAAGTTCTTGTTTTAGTTTTCGTGTGTTG